ATAAGTACTTATTTAAATATTCAAACAAACTTTTTTCCATTATATATCCTTGGATATGGCTATTCCGTGTATGCTTATTTAATTATTAAATAATAACTATTGGAATTAGGCTAATAGTTAAGAGAATGGGTTGAGATATAATAAAAGTATTGAAGACTTAGATTTAATCTTCAATGTGATGATGTTTTTAATCTTTCTTATTTTTATAAAAGAAAAAAATCTAGTTATTAAATATTTATATATTTCTATATTATAAATTTCAGTCATCACTCTTAATAAGAAAAATTAAGAGATACTTTCTTTTTACATTAATCCATATGAATTTTCCTATATTAAGTATCTTGTTTTATTTAGATTGTTAATCCTCTAAAACACCATTACTTAAGTTAATCTCAATTCAATTATATACTGTTATAAATTATGTTCTCACTTTAAATGATAGGATTTTAGAAATTATTTTCTTTCTCATAATTAAGTGATGTAATTTATTCTATGTAAGCATTTCATTTTAATCACTACTCATTTTTCATTCCACTTAAATTTTGTCGCTTAAATTTAGTTATTTCTAATTTCAATTTTGATTGAATTCTGAATTTTTATTGTTGACATATTATATTAAATTGATAGATATAAAAATTATGCATCTTGATTCAAATAGTTTATTCTAAAATTAATTTCTCAACTTTAAAGGTCTTATATATCTTTAATTCAATTAAATTGATAAAGCAGAATCTTATTCATTTCAAATAATCTCTTAAAATGTATTTTTATTATTCAATAATAATAGCATTTATATTTTGTATATTTTTTATTTTTTATTTTTTATTTAAATTTGTAAATTAGTCATATGCAATAATTTTGCTAATTTTATTAAAGATGCATGCATGCATTTGGATTACACCATTAATCAGTCGGATTAATAGTGTTATTTCAGAATATTGGCAAATATATCAAATTGTATGTGATATTTTTAAAATAAAATTGTATTTCAAGAGAATTTGTGTAATATATGACAAATGTAATTCAATGCATTATACTATAATTTAAATGCTAAAAACATATTTTAATCTCTTATAATAATTGTTTGTTTCAATTTAGTCTCACTTTTATTTTTTGTCTCAATTTGATCCTTAATAAATTAATTGGTTGCAATGTAGGAATTACGTAAAAATTATTTAAAAGGAGTTAACTGTTGGCCACGTGGCATGCACGTGGATGCCACGTAGATGCATAGGTGGATGCCACGTGAATTTCAAATTTTTTGAAAACACCTGGAACCAGAACGACACGTTCTGAAACCAGAACGGGCCGTTCTGGGTGCACTCTTGGTGTGTTAATTTTGCACCTGGAACGACCCGTTCTAGGTGCAAAATTAACACACTAAAAGTACAACCAGAACGGGTCGTTCTGGTTCTAGACTGCTAAACACATACGGTTAATGATCATAGTTCACAGTTGTGAATCGTGGAAGGAAAAAGACCCAAGGTACAAAGCATTTCAAACATTGGATTTAGTAATATTGTCAATAGAAATTGATAACTTTAATTGCTAAACAGTTGGACTATACAGTGTATCATTATGGACAATGCAGTGTATCACTAAAGACAATGATAACAAATTTTATTTCATTGTTAGTCAAACTAGAGTGAACCACTTACTACCAAGTTGACACTATATAGTAAAGGATGAAATGACATGGTATTTTTTCTTGAAGTCATTAACGATGTACCCCAATAACAACAAGCTATTCTTGAAGAGGTAAAACCTAAAGTAAAGGAAAAGGATACATAGGACTAACATTTCACCACACAACCACATGCAAGGACGGATCTAAGTTAATCATAGTGGGGGCACTTGCCCCTACTAAATTTTTTTTCATTTTTTTTATATATAAAATATTAATAATTTTATAAAAAATATATTATTAATTATATTTTAATTATCTTGTTATATCTAATATAATAAATACATTAATATATTTTTTATATATTTTATTTTATTGTTTAATTGTTTTTTATTTTGTGGTAAAATTATCTTCATTTTTAATGAAGAAAAAATTTACTTACTTCAATATTAAGTCTTGATAGATTTACTTTACTTAATAATTAATGTTCTATATCAAATTTTTAAAAATTTAATTGTTAAATTAAAAAGCTTTTCATGTATAGATCAAATTTATAAAAAAATTTAAAAAATTAAAAATCATATGATACTTTGTTAAATTGATTCAAAATAACATATAAAATATTTTTATTTTAAATGAGTGTAAAAATTTAGAGGACACTAAAAGAAAACAAATTAATAATTTTATTATGTTTATCCTATTAATTTTTATCATTTTATTCCTCAAATTCTTAAGTGACACTTAAATATTTCTTCAGAAAAAAAGAGAAAAAGGAAAAGTTATCACTCTATTTATAAGAAAAATGTATTTTATAAAAATAAGTAATTTTAAAATTTTTACCATAAAAAAATATTTTTCAAAATTATTATAGTTCTGGAACGGGCTGTTCTGAAACCAGAACGGTCAGTTCTGGTTTCAGAATGGGCCGTTCTAGTTTCAGAATGGGTCGTTCTTCTGCACTCGTGGTGTGTTAATTTTGCATCTGGAACGGCCCGTTTCAGATGCAAAATTAACACACCAAGTGTGCACCCAGAACGACCCATTCTAGTTTTAGAACGGGCCGTTCTGGTTCCAAGTATTTTCAAGATATTTGGCATCCATGTGGCATCCACCTATGCATCTACGTGGCATCCACGTGGCCAACAATTAACTCTGTTTAAATAATTTAGACAGAAGTTCCACATTGCAACCAATTAATTTATTAGGGACCAAATTGAGACCAAAAATAAAAGTGGGACTAAATTGAAATAAACAATTATTATAAGGGACCAAAATAGGTTTTTAGCCTAATTTAAAAGAATGAAATAACAATTTGTTTGAAATTTAATTTTTGAATAAATGAACTCTATAACAACAACATAAATAATAAAAATGACTTTTTTTTAGATTTTTGTCAAATACCTTAGACAATATTTAAGTAAAATCAAATGAAGAGATTCATTGGATTGAATTTCACTAAATCACAATCATGTACTAATTTATAGAATATTTCCCTCTATGTTTCATCTTAACATCAACAAAACCATATGAAGTCTCCAAACCCTAATTCCTTAGGAACTTGAAATCATGTATTTTTCTCAAATCCCCAATCTTTTGGCTTATTGAAATATATGCATTAAAATGGGTAGTTCATAATTATTCATTAAGCTTCATATTCATCCCTAAATATGACTCTCAATGTATGTTTCAACTCCTACATAATTGAAGACAAATTTTCCAATAACAACTAAAGCCATAAATCACTCAAGATACAATAAATTAAGAGAACATTAAGAGAATAGTAAGAACACCAATGAATATAAAGAAACATAGATTAATGAAGTAAAGTTAATACATGATGTTCAGCTAGTTACATTCAATCTAAATGAGTGGGAGTTTAGCTACAAGCAACCATTGGAACCACAAAAATTGATGAAGGATTTGAAGAAGTGAAGACATGCAACTCCTTAGGGTGTTCCCAACCTCCAAGGGTCTTGTCAACAATGTTTGTAATGATATATTTGAAGAGTTAATCACCTGTACATTGTTAGTGTAAAAAAAATTTACACTCACAACTAATAATATCTTTTAATTGTGCCATGTCACTGTTAAAAGTAAATGTGTTTACAGTGACATGATATAATTAAAAGATATAATTGGTTGTTAGTGTAAAATTTTTTTACACTAGCAGTGTATAGGTAATCAACTCATATTTGAATCCCTAGGTCAGTCTTATTAAAGACATTGATCTCTTATTTGTCACCCAAGTACAGGTGTCTACTAATTTTTACTCAACAATCAGGTTGGGTTGTTAAGCTAGAAATTTTTTTTACTACTCCTGGGTTATCTTGCTCAACTAAAGAGGACTCGTTGAGCGAGTTACTTGATTTATGCTAGTTATCAAATTCTCGCTCAACGACCATATTTGCTAATTGAGCGACAAACTCTTATGTAACTTCCCCAGTTTGCAACTCTAGTTCAACGACTAAGTTGGCTTACTGAGCTAAAATTTGATTTCAACTCTCACTTTTTTAATTGGTTCTTATGCGTTAATGCTTGTAACTTTCTTCATCTCCAACATCTCTACAAAAAGGATTCCATTTGTGAGATTGAAGCCAAGATTTCTAAAAGTTACAATGAATTGTAAACTTAATAAACTTATACCAAAAAGAGATTAACAACACTCGAAATAAGAAAAACAAAGAAAAATAATCATTACAATTTACACATAAATACCGAATAAGTTACATAACTATCAATTGTATCTTTGTTTTAAGTAATTACTATTAATTGTTGTTGTCTATGATCATAACTTGTAGAGGAGAGTCAGGGTGCTAAATTGTAATATACTTTTTTCCTACCTTATGTCATTTTCGTAATTTTCTTGCAAATACGGGCATTTAACATTTTTTTTCTTCTTTTGAGAATCGTTTTTATTTTTTATTTTTTAAATGTGATGATACATGTTTGTATCTTTTTTAAAAAATAGGAAAATTAATTTTATGTAAGAGTCTTTTGTCTCTTTTCCGTGCAAATCTGTACTGATTATATTGATAGAGAACCTCGTTACGTTAAGAATCAATTAATTAATTAACATTGCTTCAACTTTTAATAATTATCAAGTTATCAACCTCGTTTGTTTTCTCTCTGCATTGATAATCAATCTCTTTCCGTACTCGTTGACTTTTCCTCTTCAAAGAATATGAAACATACTTCAGCACCATTTGTACAGATACAATTATACTTTCATTTGTCGTTAGTAGATAAGTATTTTTATTAAGATAATATAATTTGAACCAAGCCTCCATACATTGAATTTTATATCAAAGCAACTAACCCTATAGCGTTGTATATATATAAACCCAAACAAACTCATAATCCAGTGCCTGATCAGTCATTGAATTGTTACCAAACAGCATGAAGCTTCGAAGAGACAACACTTACACCATTCCACATTTGTTCGTGCTTTTGATTATCTTGTTACATCCAGCATCAACAAGGGCTCAAGAAGTTGGTAATTTAATTTAATTTCTGGCCGAAAACTTAATTATTTTTTACCAAGTTTTTTTTTTTTTTTTTAATTATGTATGAATTGTAACTGTGCAGAGGACGAGAGAGAGTTTGATTACATTGAAGGAAGTGAAAAGGGTCCTCGTCAATGGGGAGAATTAAAAGAAGAATGGGCAACTTGCAAAAATGGAAAGATGCAATCTCCCATAGACTTGTCATGTGCCAGAGTCAAAATTATCCCTTACTGTCACCAACTCCACACCGATTACAAATCTTCTAATGCCACTATCATCAATAGAGGCCATGATATTGCCGTGAGCTCCTTCTCTTTATTAATTATATATTATCATCTGTACTATACATTTCTCATGTTTGCTTCTTATTCATACTCTCAATTTTGAGGGTAGTCCCTATTCGATAAATGTCAAAGATTATTCTCAAATTTGACAGAAAATATCAACGATAGTTAGAGATGAAGTTTTTTTTTTTTTTTTTTTTAGACTTAAAAATCACTTATGTGAGTTTTGTTTCTTGCAATAAGTTATCTCTATTCATACAATTATCAGATAATCAATCTTTTATCAACATGTTTAACAAATTCAATTAACTGTGATAGATGATGTAGATATTTCATTTCATACATAGATAATTGAACCTTTCGATCTTGAATAATATATATAAGAGAGTTACCGTAGTACTCTTTTAAATTAATATGTTTTGGTACGGTCAATTTTTAAAATCAATAAAAAAAAATACTTAAATTGTGATTTTTTTTCCTTTTTACTTTTTTCTTTTCTTTTCTTTTCTTTTCTCTACACTAAGTGATGTGTTATTGACAAATAAATAATCTAATTCACCAAATACTAGTCTAAATATTTTAAGTTATTTTGTAAAAATTAAAATAACTTTTGAGAAAAACATAATAAGATTTTATTTGCTAAAGTAGATGAAGATTTTGAAAAGTTTTTATTTAATTTATTTCTCAAAATTTACATACAAATATGAAAATTCTTAATTTATCTTAACTCATAATCTAGAAAAAAAAATATATTTAACAAATCTAAAGGTTTCATATAATATTATATATATTTGTATATATTAAGAATTTTAAGAAAATATATATTTAAATAAAAATATAATCAAATTATTCTAAAACACTAAATATTATTTTTTTAAAAATAAAATATATAAGGATAGAATTTCTCTGGATTATAAAAACATATTATGCAACTATTCCCCGTTTATTTTCTTAATCCAAGCTTTGATACGGAATTCTTGAAATCTAACCATTGAAAACATCATCATGCCTAATTTCATATCTTCTTTAAAAGGAAATGGATTTTTTTATTATTTATTTTGCTGAGGATATAATACCATTTCCCTACTAGCTGTATTATATTACGATCCATCAATTACCAAATGTTTGACTTTAATTTGGCTGTGTACGTGTCTGATGCTCTCACAAAGGTATGATCGATAAATCTGGTGTTTATGTTAAAATCGTGCTTGTCGCCGCAATATCTGTTAATGATATATATAGATAAATATGGTTCTAATTAATTTGAACGCAACATGACAACAACCAATGCCTTTATGAGTATTGAATATATAACATGATGCATAATCATATGATCATTGTGTTTGTGTTGCAGGTATATTGGAAGGGTGATGCTGGCTCAATACGCGTCAATGGAACTGAATTCTTTCTGAAACAATGTCATTGGCACTCTCCTTCTGAACATTCCATCAATGGAAGGAAGTCTGTCTTTGCTTCTTTCTAGCTAAAAAATTTAAGAACTTTTTTTTTAAAAAAATATATAAAGTATATTTCACAATTTATACTTTTATTTATTAAGGGACACATCAAGTACAATGTTTAAAAAACTAAGCACACATATGAAACTGGTGAGACATGTTAGTCATATTCATATAATGGTTCACCAATTAATTAAATTTATAAAATAATGGAATAATTGAATTGGATATATAGTATCAGAATTGGAACAAGAGGAGGGTTAATAATGTGAAGTATGCCTTCATTTTTTTTCTTTTTCTTGATACAATAGGTATGACTTAGAGATGCACATGTTGCATGTAAGTCCAGATAACAAGATTTTTGTGGTTGGTGCTTTCTATAAGATTGGTCATCGCCGTGATCGTTTTCTCTATCAGGTCAGTAATTAATTACTCCGATCCAAAACTCTTCCAATTTAATAGTATTTTCTGGTTTTCACGTACAAGTCCTAATATAAGGTATATATATCTTTAAATTAATTCAGTTGGAGAAAGACATAAAGCACTTAGTTGATGAAGTAGAAGAAAGAGAAATTGGAGAGACAAATCCCTCACATGTACAGACACGAGGCAAAATGTATTACAGATACATTGGCTCACTCACCACTCCTCCTTGCACTGAAGGTGTCATATGGAACATTGATAGAAAGGTACAAATTACTAATACCATCTACTATTTGATTTAAAAAAGATTTGAATTGCTTTGGTCTTTATAATGTCTACATTTGATTTGGAATTTCGAACTATGTATCCTATTCAGATAAGAACAGTTTCGAAAGAGCAAGTGAGGCTTTTGAGGGAGGCAGTGCATGACGTAAGTTTATTATTCAATATATGAGTCCAGATAGTAATTTTATGATAGTAGATAATTGAGTTACAGTAGGGACATTTTTTCTCTCACACAAGCACTTTGCAGCATGCAGAGAGGAATGCAAGGCCAAGACAGGCACGTAACAATCGAGATATAATATACTTTCGATACAAACGCAGAGCAAAGCCAAAATATTAAATGCTTATGCGACACAAAGCATGATGATGTTTAGAGCTGAGAGCTCCCATATTGTTGTCATATGATAGAAATATTAGTAGCTTGGTGGCTCATATATGCTTGGAAATTACTCAATGACTCTTACTCATAAGAAAATCACACTATTTGGCTGTTTTTTATTTTGTTGTTTCTTTAATTAATTTTTGTTTTTTATTTTCACTTTATGTGCGTGCTATAAAATGTTGCCCACAAAATTATTAATAGTAATTTTGAGTTAATATAAATAATTTCATTTACTAAATCACACAAGATTGGGGCAATTTTCCTATTTAAGATTATAAGCAATATTACAAGAAAATTGTTTTTTTATTTTCACTTTATGTGCGTGCTATAAAATGTTGCCCACAAAATTATTAATAGTAATTTTTAGTTAAAATAATTTCATTTATTAAATCACACAAGATTGGGGCAATTTGCCTATTTAGGCTTATAAGCAATACTACAATAAAATTGTCAAATAATAACACATATCCTATAGTGATATAATACTTGTCACTAAAAGTTATTTTCTTACATAATAAATATAATATATGTTGATATATTGTTAAAATTTATGAGTATATACTATATATAGTGACACACAAAATATGTTATTAAATCTCATTCAAAATCAACACTAAAGTTGTGTCTGACTATATGTCAAATAGATATATATATCTACATATATTGTACCTATAGTAATACTTTTTGTATGTCACTATATGTAACGTTACATTTCCTGTTGTGAATTTTGTAACTTGTCTTTATTTATTCTGTAGATTATCATTGTCAGAAATTGGAGTGATTTTCAAATTTCATTGTGTTGGATAATTGATATTATACAATTGATCAATTTATAATTGTGTTAACTGATTACGATTGTGATCGTGAGATTTAACGTGAATTTTAATTTTTCTAATTATTAAATCAACGGTAAATTTTAACCAATGATTTATTTTAGTTATTCATAAAATAATAAATGTTAAATTATATGATTGTTGGGCTATGGATACATTAAAATTTGTTTAGATTATTTTAAGGTATATGTTAATTTTGTTGTTGCATATTTCATTACCAAATAATGTATGTATGTCTCAAATCTTGATATTGTAATAAATATAAAGTTTCTAAAATTATAGTAGTTTTCTATTTTTGAGAACTTAGAAAAAATATTTGTCTAATGATGCTTATAATTTTAATTGATTATTGATTAGTCATAACACCTTTAATTTATTGAAAAAATATATTTTTTTGCTTAAATCACATAAAGAATTAGACATAATATTGTAATTGATTATACCAAAATATAATAAGTTTTATCTCACATGAATTATTGTTATGTGTATAATCAATTAGGATAAATATCAAATTGTATTTCTTAATTTACTCATAAGAATTAAGAAAAGGAACATAATTTGATAATTTTGTCATAAGGTTATGTGATAAATTAAATTGAGTAAAATTTTAGTACATAGGCAAGTTTTATGTCTTTATATTCATAAATTTATACATAATTTACACCGGTCTCATATATCATGAATAATGAGTGTTTATGTTTAAACTTTGTAATTACGAAATCAGCAAATATTTCTAATGTAAATTGTGATAAAGGATTAATTTAAAAATTAATATATGATTTATATGTTTGTGAGTCGTCGTAGCATTCTAGACAATGTAACAAAAGAGTTATTTCATAAGGAAGAAATAATTAATTAAAGTTATGGACTAAATGTCATGATAGGATATTTCTACATCCAAACATGATCTATGTTACTATGATATTTATTGTCCATATATAAAGTTTGTAAATTCTATGCATGTTTTGTATCAAAAGGTTTTGAATTTAATTACTAATTTAAGAATTATCATAACGCTAAGATTATATTATAAAAATGGTATATATTTTATCACTCTATACTAACATTTCAAAAAGTTAGTGGGAGTCAAAATTCTCAATTAGTGAAAGTGAATTCTTGATAAGTGAAATTTGAAAAAGTAAGTGGGAGCATTTGATATTCTTAAAAATTACTTTAAAGAAAATATTTGTTACATGTTATGAGATTATATCACAAACATAATATTTTTTGTCTTAAAGTTGTCGATTTTATTAAAGACCAATTGAGAACTATTGGCTAAATATTATTTTTGAAATATATTAAAGGTGAAGGCCAAAACAAACAAATTGATATAAAGTAGAAATCAAAAGAGAGTTAATGTCTATTGATTATATAGTTGCAAAATCAATGATCCAATAAAAGATTGTCAGCTCTAGTGTTTTAGAACCATATAGTCAAAGACTTACACTAAAGTTTGTCTTTCTTATTTTATGACTTTGTGCACATAAAGTTTGTCATAGAAGAATATGATTCATTTGAATCAATATAGTATGGACCTATTTCTCTTATTAAAATATTATGTATTACAAATTTGTATTACATTAAAAGAAGTGTTTATCTTGAGACATAATTGTCATAATTCATGTATGATAATTTCTATATAGCTTTGAGGAATTTCAAGTTTTAAGATAAATGACCATATTTAGTTGTTGGTGATAGAGATAATCTCTAAAGAATATAAGAGCCAAGTGAGAAAATGTTGAAAAAAATATCATATGACTCATATAATTCATGTATGATTTAATTATCCTATTAATATAATTAATTGCTTGATAATAATGAATTGTTATATAATTATAATCAACTATAAAGAATCATAATTAACATATTTTATTGGTTCTTAATGAAAGAACAAATTGAAGGTTATTATGACAATATGATAGAGAATTCCTAACTTTGTCTATAATTTTTTTTTTGATGTTTTATTGTTTAATAAATTTAAAAAAGACAAAAATTAGAAGAATATTTTCTATTTTTTTAAATATCTAAATATTTTATTACATAGTAATTTGATAACAATGGTCACATGTTATAATACGTTTCTAGATTAAGGTTTTTATTATTCTTACAGGTAAATCATAGCATTTGCAATAGCAAGAATAGGTCAGCTTAATTTGTGTATATATTTTTTTGGTATTTGAATCATGACCATATATTTTTTTTTTTTTTTGAGGAACTCAAGTTCAAGGAAGACCAAAGGAAACAAAATCCAAGCAAATCATAGTAGTTGCAAAGCATAGTAGGTCAGCTTAATTTGTGTAAAAAAAAATAAAATCGTTGTTTGATATTAGAGTCACTATCATATATTTTAATTTATTGTTCAACAGGGAAGTTTAAGGAAGACCAAAAGGAAGGAGACAAAAACCAAGCATATCATAGCTTTTTGCATCAGCAAGAGTGGGTAAATTTAAACTCTCTCGTTTTTTTTAATGTTTGATATATTATTATTAGAGTCGCAACCATATATTTAAGTACAGAAAATTGCAGTTTTCTTTGCTGCAGACGTGTGTTAGCTGTAAAGCATGGTACAAGCATATCGCTCTGCTTAGAGTCTCTAACTTTTTTTTTTTTTTTTTTTCAATTCATACTTAGAGTCTCTATTTTCATATTTCTTTATAATAAGTAGTCAAAATATTCTCAAAAAGATACCTTGGCTAGCGTAGATTCATAATAATACTTACCCGAAAGAAATTACGTTTAAGATATGCATGAATATACAATCATTTTTCACCAAATTAATTCTCACATTACAAATCCTAATTTAACTAATTTGATTGATGAAATTCATGTATATTAATAATAATATATCACGGATGGATGCAGTGTTATCACCACCATTTCTCTCTCTATATATATATATATAATCCCCCATATATTATCATGATTATTATTATTTTGGTGTTATTTTCAAGTCATTCTTATTATTTTTATGATTAGTAGGTTATACTGTTATTATCGTCATCGATCGTATAAGTTTATGTCACAATTTTTATTATTATCGTCTATTTAGTATATTTCATTCTTTATTATATAAAAAAAATACATATTTTTTAAATATAAATATATTTTAATTATTTTTTAATTTAATTATTTTTTAAAATAATTCTTTTTTAATGTATAATCTTTCAATTATATAACTTTTTTCTTAGTATTTATAACAAAAATAATTTTAAAAAAATATTATAAAAATAATAAAATTTAATATAATTAATTAATTTTTTTAATACATGTAAAATTAATTTTTTTTTCATAATAAAAACAGAGAAAATAGTATCTTTCTCATCTCTACTTTTAAAATTATCATTATTATTATTATTACAAATGTCATCACTATTATTATCAACTTCTTATTAGTTATCACATGATAGCAACAACAATAATAATAATTTTAATTAAATCTTTTAATTTAAATTTAAATTAATTATTTTCATTCTTACAACCTCCACACACACACAAGACACACACACACACACATATATAT